TATATATATATATATATATATATATATATATATATATTACTATACATGTACATCACACTACCATAACTTGATGATGGTTATGGATTGACGATAGTTATGGCAGCTATGCAAAATAGTGCGAAGTGTAATAATAATCAGAACTCGAATCTGTGTAATACAGATATGTACATAAAATATAAACGAATATACATATATAATGAGTGACAATTATACGAATAAGCAAATACGTTCATATACACACGAGAGATATTAAGATTAATAGAACAAATTAGCGTTTTTATTTATAGTCGTTAATAATGTATTATAATGTATTCAGCGTATTTCTAAGTAGTCTTGCTCGATTGATTTTAAATTCATGTATTACGGAGAATTATTGAAATGTCGTCAACAATTTTATTTTTGTCATCACATAGTTTTTATTAAGATTTTAACTGTGTGTATGTGTGTGTGTGTGTACACCATGAAATTGTTTCTTTAAATACAACACTTCCCATTTTACTTCGGCAAATATATTAAACATTTTCAAAACAGTTATAATTTTATTATCTGTAAAGTGCATCATATTAATCTTTTTATTGTTTTTATGATGTTTTATGAAAAATGCAATATTATATTTTTTTTATTTAGTATTTAAATTTTGTATACACTCTTATTTGTTTTGATAAAATAATTATTTATTTGGCGAAAAATGTTTAAATAGCGAGTACTTTATATAATGGAGAAAAAGTTTCTGATAAAATATTGAGTTTTTCTCTTCTTGAATATAACTTTTGATTTGAATTATTTCTGTATTATTTTGTTAGAAGCGTTAATCAGAATCGTTATCAAGAGTGAGCAAATAATAAAGTGCCTCACTCTAAATATACAGAATATTACAAAAATTTATTGACAAAATCAAAATATTCTTTTATATACTTTATCAATAGATATAGTATTTCTGACATTTTTCATGTCAATAGAATTTTGTGAAATTCTGTACATGAAAATGAATTTCTCTCGATAAGTTAAATAACTAACTATATATAAAATATGTTGTTGATGTTAATAAATAGATACTAGTTAACTTGAAAATGGATAATTAAAATTTACAGATTTTATAATTCTACGTCGTGTGTATGAATTTTATGTGTTTATTGAAGAGAACATCCGCGGAGTGCTTGTGAGAAATTATCAATATTGTTAAGAAGATATTAAAGGAAAGAAATAAGACATACGATTATCGGCTGTGGTTCTTTGTACATGCATTGTTTTACAAAACAGTATTTATTAAGTATAAGAAATATTATACCTGATTTAACATTGTTGCAATTTTGTTACGTTATGATTGCTTGCAAGCTTATTGGACGCATCTCCGTAAAAGAACATAATTTATAAAATAAACTTAGTTAATAAATACATGTATAT